AGGAGACTCGCTTGAGCCCAGGAGTTGGAGGTTGCTGTGAGCTGAGATGCCACGGCACTCTACCCAGGGGGACAGCTTGAGGCTCATGTCTCAAAAAAAAAAAAAAATTCTAGTTATATTTGGCAAGAGTGGAAATAAAATCAGGGGCATGTTAGTCCAAGTTTATGGAGATAATGCCACAAAGAAAACAGCAGGGTACAAATGGATGAAATGTTTTCTGAGGGGAAAGAAAGTGTCACTGATGAAGAAAGGGTCAGGGCAGCCAGGAATGAGCAGAACTCAAAAAAACATTGAATTTTGTGTCAAAAGCAACAGCTCCTGAGAGAAGCATGGCAGACAAAATAAACACAGAGAAACAGGACAATCTGAACTGAAAATCTTGGCCAAGACTTGTGGCTCTTGTCTCACAACAAAGTACCAGCTCACAAGGCACCGTCTATCAGGGAGATTTTAGTAAACAAAGAATTGTATTGGAACATGGTACCTACTCACCTGATCAGCCCCAAATGACTTTTTTCTTTACCTGAAGGTAAAGATATTGAAAAGAAGACATTTTGATGACATTCAGGGCATCAAGGGTAATATGACAACAGCTTTTATGGCCATTCCAGGAAAAGAGTTTCAAAATTGCTTTGAAGGGTGGGCAAGGCGCTGGCATCAGTGCACAGCTTCCCCAGGGGAAGACTTCTCAGATGGGCATAGTGATGTTCAGCAATAAAGTATGCAGCATTTTTTTTCTAGGATGAGTTTGTGAACTTAATTGTCAGGCCTTGTATATCCCTTTTAAATTTCACAATGCTGTCACGTTCCTTCTCCCTGGGCACAGTGAGTTAGGTCATGCACCTTCAAGTATTACTCAGCCCATTTTTTGAAGCAATCACTATAATCCATCTCTTTCATTATATCACCTTTTGACTAGCACATCTATTGCTCTATTAAGTCAACATCAGCTGGAGCAACCTGGATAGCTCATGCCTGTAATCCTAGCACTCTGGGAAGTCACGCCGGTGGATTGCCTGACCTCCAGAGTTGAAGACCAGCCTGAGTAAGACGAGACCCTGTCTCTACTAAAAATAGAAAACCTAGCCAACCATTGTGGTGGGCACCTGTGGTCCCAGCTACTCAGGAGGCTGAGACAAGAGAATTGCTTGAGCCCAAGAGTTCGAGGTTGCTGTGAATTATGATGCCATAGCACTCTACCTAGGGTGACAGAGTGAGACTATTGTCTCCAAAAAAAAAAAAAAAAGACATGGAGTCTGGGCTATGAATCCAAAATTGCTTCTAATCAACATACCTTCCGTTAATGCTGTTTTGTTTTTATCTTTTTCACTACATCAAATTAACCAGTACAGAAGTGTCTCCCACGGATTGCCATAGAGGTGGCCTTGTATTTTAGTGGATATTTACTCATGAAGTAAAACTGGATTATTCCATTTTTTTTTTTTTTTTTTGAGACAGAGCCTCAAGCTGTCCCCCTGGGTAGAGTGCCATGGCATTACAGCTCACAGCAACCTCCAACTCCTGGGCTCAAGCGAGTCTCCTGCCTCCGCCTCCCAAGTAGCTGGGACCACAGGCGCCCGCCACAACGCCCGGCTATTTTTTGGTTGCAGCCGTCATTGTTGTTTGGTGGGTCCGGGCTGGGGATTCGAACCCGCCACCTTAGGTGTACGTGGCTGGCGCCCTAGCCGGTTGAGCTATAGGCGCCGAGCCGATTATTCCATTTTTTATAAAACATTTTGTGGCAGGCCATTGGTGCATGTAAAATCGTGTTCCCGGTAATAGTCTGCTTTGACAAGTAGTTTATTATCAGAGCTGTTAACTCTAAGGAACGGTGGCAGGAGGAGCTAACACCCCCGCCGGTGTGGTCAGCACACACACACACATCTGCACACGTGTTCCACCCAGGAAGGGGATAGGGACAGAAAGCAGCTCCAAAGGGCTTTACCTCAGCCATCACTCATTGCTGCCGGCCCCAGAACACCTTCCACTTGGGTTTAAAACCACA